TCGAAATCTATTTAGATATTCGTCTATTGGCTCGGTGAATATTCTTTTCACGCTTGCCAGTTCTTTCAGACTTATTTTGGTTTGTCCCATGTAAAATTGTTCATGGAACAGTCTCTCCAATTGATTCCAAATATGGATCGAATTGGCTGGGAGGGTGGTAAACCAAGTAAAAACGTTTTTAGTTAGAGAACTTGGGAAGTATTTAATCCTAAGGCTCTCATTATTTGATATTTCCCCAGCTTCTATCAAATATATCGCTATATGTTCAACAATGGATTCCATCGTATCCCCTGAAAACTTAGTGAACTTTGGAACTTTCCACCTAGGGGGTAAATCTATTTGGAAGATATACTCTGACAATGGTGATGTAAAATTTCGCCTATGAAAGCCAATCTTCATTCCGTTTTGTATCGCGATCCTTTCGATCATGGCTGTCAGATTATTTTTTGTGCCATAATTTTGGTGTGAACTTGTTGTATCAGTTCGTCGGCATTTTGGTTCCTATTTACCACCATTACACCTTGATCACCATCTCTAGGAACTTGTGGGGGAAATCTGGGTATTTCGACCCTAGGTTGTTCGATTTCCACTATGTGGTTCCTCCTATCTAGTTGTGGATTTTGGTTATTGGTTACATCTTCTTCTAAGACTATACCTTGGTTCTCTCTCATAGGTGCTCTTTGGGGTTGTCGAATAGGATGGGGAACCCCAAAAAATTCGGTCATGCGCGCCATCTGCGCTGACATTTGCTGGTTCAACTGAGTGGTATTTTGTATTAGAGGGTTCGACATTGTACTCAGAGTTTGGGCCAACATTTGTACCATATCATGGTTTCTCTCATCCATCTGTTGCCTCAAAATTACGGTGGAAGCATTTGTGAGGCTTTGCATTGCATGGGATGTCCCTCCTAAAAGTTGGTTCCTATCGATACCAGTTCCAGATCCCTGTATTGGTGAAGACCCACTTACCAAAGGTTTTAAAAATATAGATGCAACGTTCATAAGGCTAGCCATTTCAGTAGTTGGCATGTCATAAGGCTGGTCTTGACCCATCCAGACTGTCAAAAATCTTGGGGGAACGTATGGTCGAGATCCTGGATTCACCCTTGGTGGGGGTGTTCCTGTTGGAACTCTGGGACCTGCATATGAAAATACTGGTCCCGTTTGGGTTGCTGTTAATGTTGGTATTGAACCAACAATTGACGAGACAATTTCACTAACGGTTGGTATTACCGATGTTCCTGTAGTAATTAGTGGAGGTATTTCTCCATTATCTGGCTGATTAGCCATATTACTTTCACTATTTCTCTTTCTAGTTGTACACTCGTTGGTAATTAATTTACCACTTCTTAATAGCATACAAAACTTTGTAAAAGAAAGAAATTATACAAAGCATTTATGTTAAGAAAAACAAACAAAACAAATAATAATAAAGAAAAATTAGCAACGTCCCACCAGGTGTGCCAATTTGTTCACCGTGTTTTTTGGTAAATAACCGCTGATCTTCCAAAAAGGGTAAATTTTTGGTTACTCGCAGGATCAATCAGTTTGATCCTAGGACATATACTAATTTTTGGTGTTGTTTGGACATAAATGATAATATAAGTGAAGAACACACGTTCGACAGTGAAAGGGATGAGTTTAAGTGCAGAAAGTAAATAGAAAAGGGGTTGAGAAGAGTTTAAGTGCAGGAATCTGGGTAAAAGTGCAGGTAAAGTGAAAACAAGATAAAAAGGCAAGAAATTTAAAGAGAGAAATAAAATACTTTGATTATAAAATATGGTGTTTCAAACGTACATTTTCAATATTCTTTCTCACGCAGCGGGTACTTGAATAGTATTGAATAATTTGTACGATCAGTTGAACACACGGAGATCTACATAAACATCTTATATTTATACTAAAATTAGGTAACCTTCGATGAGTTACCTTGCTCTAGGATGAAGACAAGTGTCTTCTGCATGTGATTCGACCCCTCTCTTCACGTCATGTTGCTTTCCTCAACTGCTAAGCGAACTGCTTTTCCCTCCTTTCTTCAGATTCAAAATCTCCTGTTACAGATATGAACTTTCCTTCTAGCCGAAGACCCTGGAACCCTTTCAGTCGAAGGATGTGAGAACCTTCTGGTCGAAGATTCATTTTAACTTAGAAATTTCTCTAAGTATTTTTCCACTCTGTCGAAGTATTTCAAACTTAGACTTGTTCAATCTATTTTTTGGCCCATAAGGCCAACTTGTTGTAGGTATCGAATTTAGGAGCTAACAGAGGTACAAATATTAGAGCCTTGAATTTAGATATTGAATTCAGGTCCAATAAGACAAGAAGGTACATTTTTGAGTGCGTTAGTAAAACTGGGGGGGGGGTGTAAAGCATCAATTAACCATCAAGTTAAGTTAGAGATTACCTTCCGGCGCCTTAAATTTCTTTGTTTTGATTCCTTTTCTAAGCTCTCTCTTTTCGATTCATAGGTGGAAGTCGGTGATGATGATTAAGGCGACGATTTGATGGCGGCGGTGGCACAACAACTGGATCTAGGGCTAGGTGACAGTGAACGGGGATTACAGCGGCGAGGCTTCTTTGTCCTTCTTTTGTTACGAATTTTCCTCCTTCTAATAATTTTCTTCTCTGTAATTCTTTCCTCTCTGATTTTTTTGGTTGGTCTTTCCTTCTTATTTCTTCTTAGGTTTTATAGAGTTTTTAGGATTCATAGATTTAGGAAACTTTTTAATATGTCTGCAAAGTTAATACAATTTTAATTTTGTATTGATTATGAACTTGATTTTGTCTGATTATATTTGTATTAGGTTTTGATTTGTGTTAATTTAACTTCTGTATTAGTTTGATATTGTCTTTGAAAACTTAATGCACATATTTTCTTATGTCTTATTATAATAAAAATAGTAAGATTAGTAATAGGTTAATAACAATGTTAATAATAATAATAATAAAAATGTTATAATTTAAACAAAATATTTTTTTAAAACGAAAACCAAAAACTGAATTGGGTCATACCATTTTAATTATTGGGTTTTAACAAGAAAATGAATTGCGTTATACACCCCCTTTTTAATATTTGAAATGGACTAAAAAAATTACATGGACCCTTTCTGATTTAGAAAGGCCCGTGATTTTTCAAAATAGTGTAACTCCTTTCAATATTTAAAATGGGCTGAAACCTGAACAAAATCATACCCAAAAATGCAGTTGGTTCAAAAAAACTTACATAGACTTTTTTTATTTAGAAAGGCCCATTGATTTCTTTATAAGATAAACCCACTCTTTATAAATTCTAAACTCCCATAACTATATGAATAATATTTTATAAAGTAAAGTAATTTTTAGCAATAGGAATAAAAAAAAATTAGGAACAAATAGGGCAAATTTGGGATATAACAGAATCTTCCAGACCTTAAAATCAGTGCCACATAGGATAGCATAATATTCTTAGAATATTTTACATTTGTTAAATCTTAAACTGACCAACAGCCCATCCCAACACAGTCGTGATATCGAATGACTCTGCATAGGACATCTTGTCTGACATGTTGCTTCAGTTGATGAAACATCTCAACTCAACACGTTTCTTCATAAAATAGGACTTCTTGTTCAACTTGTTTATCTTGGCAAGTTAACACATCTTATTTAACATATTGCTTCTATATTTTTTTTATTAAAATTAATGCCAACCATAAAATAGATAACTAACAACAATGATCAGCTATATTCAACGTTCTCTGAGCTTATTTAAACGTCTCTTTTGGATTACCAATGACGCTTTTGAGCTATTTAAATGTCTAATTACCAACTCCTTGTTTCAAAGTGTTTTTCTATTTTCAACGTCTCATTACCAACTCTCTGTTTCCTTGTTTCAAAGTCCATATAAAAAATGGATGCAAATTTGTTGTTCGTTATCCATGGAAAATATGTTGATTTCAATGATTTGAACGTTTTAATCCAAAGTTGAGGAAATTTGTTGACAAAAGAAAGTTGAATGGTTACTTTAACATCATACATGGTCCCGTATACACTAACCTCGTTAAAAAGTTATGGATGAACGTCTCTGTTGTGCAGTTGGTCATAAAGAAATCATTCAGTCCTATGTCAATGCCACTCATTTATATATTACTCCATCACTGATTGTTATGACAATCAACCGTGAATTGTTTGATAGTTGTGTTGAATATTATAAACTCAACGGTGTCTATGCAATCCACTTTTATCAACTTTTTTCCAACAAATAATCTCTCCAGTTCCGCTTCTCTGAAACCAATTGCAAAATTTTAGTTTCAACTTCTAGTGGCAAATCTCCGCTCAAGAGAGAAAGACCTAGAAACGCTTACTTGTTATGACAAACATCTCTTGTTATTCCTCGCCTACAACATGAGGGTTAATCTTTCTCTTACCATTTTCAACTCCTTGAAGGAAATAACAAAGACTTCTCGGGAGGAAACGACTTTCATCATACCTTATGGAAGAGTTTTTTTAAAACTTTTCTATAAGTTAGGGATAGTTACGGGTGATGTTGAAGTTGAGTGGACTGAGAAGTTTGAATTTATTGAGTAATTTTCTTTGTTGTGTGTTTTTTTATTATTAATGAAATATTTCATTTTTCTATTATTGTCTATTCTTGTTAAACAAAAAAAAACATGGCATCTGGAAAAGACGCCAAGTGATAAATCGTTGAAAACAGTTTTAAATGCGGCAACTGGAATTCGAAGTGAGGTTCCTTATAACTATATTACCTCGATTCTAAAGAAAATTGAGATAACATGTTTATTAGTTTTTTTTATGGAAAAATAGGCGCTAACTTATAGCTGTGGTACCTCGATTTTTTATAACACCAACGTAACATAATGCTTATCTTATTAAAAAAATAAAATATTGCACTCTCAAGACATATCCTCTTGGTTTTTAGCATGTTGGAGATGAAAGTTCCGTCATAAAAAATATTATTTATAGTAAAGATAAGAAAAGCCTTATTACTTACTAATACATGGAGACATGTCGGTCAATACTAACACCACAATATGTCTTACGACGAAAGTATTTAATGCATTCATTCTAGAGAATAACAATGTCCGATCAAAGACCTCCACATCTTCAAAATCCTTAACCGTGCAAAAACACATATCACAAACCCTTATCTCGCAAAACAAGAGACAAGAGTTTGAGAAGAACTGTTTTATGCATCCGCGGGGCCAAAGATACAAACTCCAATAACAATATGAAGGACTATATCTGCCTCATAAATACTTAAGCATTGTATAAATTCTCATATGTAGGACCTAATGGCTTTTCTTTTCTTCAATTTTCACCAACACAGGTACTTAACACATTGTTGCTGTTTGTTTCAACAGTAGCAGTATCTTGCTTCGTTAATATATAATATAAAAAATATTTAGAGAAAAAATATAAAAAATATTTAATACAAAATATTTTAAAGAAAAAATATAAAAATATATACATGTCATTATTTTAGAGGTGAATTTTAAATTAATTTTAAAATTAATATTTTTTTTAATAGGAATCATAGAGGTGGTGGTGATAATGAATAATTAGGATTTATTCTTGTAATTTTTTTTCATTTCTTATTAATAAGCATTTTCCATATAATAATTGATATTTATATAAAATTAATTCTTTCAAAAAAAAACTGGGATCAATTTAATTTGACAAGTTACAAGTTAAATCTGTTAAGTGACTACTTTCCTTATCATTTGATTAAAATTGAGTCCTTAATCCTTCATGCTAAGACAACTTTGCCTCACATCCGCCAATCTAAAAGCTTTTGGACTGAAATTGAAGAAAAATGGAATAAAGGGGAAAAGATAAAAGAGAATTTTAGATAACATTTCTAAAAAAATGGAATAATCAAGGCAAAGTAAATAGGAAAAGATGAGGAAGAAAGCTATAGAAGCATCCGATTCTAGAGTTATGAAGTAAACTTTTATTTTTGATACTAAGTTGATGGTAAGATAGAAAGAAAGTGGCTTTGCACCTAATCCACACACATATACATAAAAGCAAAATTCTAAATGATCGAATTTGTTCCATTAGAATCTTAATAATGCTGTGTTTTGATTCTCTTCAAGAATACCTTTATTATATTCATGTGCCACTAGTATCAAAGGATTTTAGTACAACTTGCTATCATGTGTGTTGGTAAGTACTGAATTTACAATTCATGCCCAACAAGCATGCAAAGTTACAGTGCATAGCCTAAATTCAGTGTTTTGTGCCAGAAATATTTTTAAAATCATTACTATTTGAAATATTTGAGAGCAGTAATAATTACAGACATTAATTTAGACACCCGTGAAAAACAATAGTACTCTCATGTCGTGGAATATGTTTACATAAGTTTTTTTTATATGTGAATATATGAATGAGACAAAGATGATCAGATATTTTCTGAAATAAGATAGAAATTGAGGAATAGTGTGCAGTAAATAAAGGTTTTTTTACTACTGATTGTGATGTTTTTCTGTTCTTTCGTACTAGTATAATGGGAAGAAATTTGGTATTAAGACAATTTCAGTGTAGTTATTGCAACAATAACTATACTTTTATGAGATACAGCCAATAATAGTGTTGTACAAGTCTTGAAAGCAATGAAAGTGTTGGTTGTATATCTCATAAAAGTGAGTCTGATATGTTCTGTCTTATCATAAAATTGATTAACTTTTACTCTTTTAATAGAAAAAACCATTTATTTAGGACATTTCCTCATTTCTTTTCTTTATTGATAAAAATGTTTTTTAACGTTTAATAGTAATGCTGGAATTGTCATGTTTTTTTTTTTCATCTTGATAGAATTATTGTCATGTTGAAATCATTAACAAAGCATTTCAACTATTTGATTATTAAAAAACTGATAGAGTATTTTAATATTGTATAAAAATTATACAATTATTGATGAGATAAAAAAAGAAAAATAAATAAATTAAAAATCATATTTAAACCATATAAAACTACTGTGCTGGAGAAAAAAAAATATGTTCGCCTAACATATTTCTAGAAAATTACTCAAGAAAAGTAAATATGTCCACCTATCATCTTTTAGAAAATAGATAGACTGGAAATATAAAACTCAAATCCTAACTTTTTTTTCCAAACCCCATAGACTAACCTGTGGATTTCGACCCATTTTAACAGTTTTAAATTTTACCATTAAAGGAAAATATTGCATTCCCACTCTAACTATTAATTGCTTCCATTTTCACAATTGTATGTATTCTACTCTCTTTGTTCTAAATTATACTGCATTTAGGTCATTGTACTGTTTAAAAAATATAATTAATTTTCTATAAAAAAGTTATATATAATTTTATAAAATTATTATTTATTAATGACATAAAATGTTTTTTAAAAGAAAAAAAAGAGAATAATAGATAGTATAATAGTAACCGTTAGATTTAAAATAGTAGTTATGAATGAATGAGGTATAAAACTTTTTTCACCATTAATCCCTTAACTACATACATATGCCAACTAAACTCTACTCTATCTCTATCTCTTTCTCTTTCTCTTTCTCTGTTTTCTTTCTCTCCACTTAAGACACTCCTCAACACCCCAAACAAATTGAAGTTTAAGTACTACCAACTTTCCTTATCTCTTCCTTCACTACACAACACACATTCTCTAATTTCTAAACCATCCAAAACATGAAAACCATTGAAATCTTCTGCGCATCACAAGCCTCAACAGCCATTTGTCTTAACACCAATCACGCCTCCTCCTCCTCCTCCTCCAACACCATTCAATTTGGTGGTAGAGCCATTGATCGCCACAACCCCATCATCACAGATCCAAAAAGAACACCAGCAAGACATTTCACTCTCCCTACCTCTCCTTCTCCATCACCTATCAACCCAAAACCTCTCCATGATCTCAAAAAAACCAAGAAAAATAAAACTACAACAACCGCTCAAAATTCTACTCATCATAAACATATTGCTAATAATTTCTCTTCAAAACCATTTGATAATATCCTAAGAAGAAGTAGGCTTAAACCACCTTCTGATTTAATCACTCCTACTTCTTCACGATATTTGCTTGATGACATTACTTCTTTCGACGGTGTTTTAGATCATGACCCTGTTTTCGGTTCAACTAAGGTTCACGATAGCAAAAAAAAGGCTCAACTTTTTCATGAAGATGAAAATAATCATTCATCTCAACAACCATCTACCTCCTCTGTTCCAAAGTCTAGTTCTACAAGCCAGGTTAGTATATCTCTCTATCTCATGAAAGACGTTACGTATAATTAACTAATATCTTATTTTTAACAACATTGATGTTTCAGTATCGTGTCTGAGTCTGTATCTGTGTCTGAGTGTCTGTGTTTCTGTCAGTAAATTTTTTAATGAATTTTGTTGCAGGTTGTGGTATTAAGGGTTTCTCTGCACTGTAAAGGCTGTGAAGGGAAGGTGAGGAAACATCTCTCTAGAATGCAAGGTATACAAATCACACTCTCTTGTCAAATTTTCTTGTTCAAACCATATAAACCAAATGGATTTTTGGTTTTGTTTTATGTGTAACATTCGATAAATTTTTTGTATTGGTAATTAAATGAGCAGGTGTTACATCCTTCAACATAGACTTTGCAGCAAAGAAGGTTACAGTGGTTGGTGATGTGACTCCTTTGAGTGTAATGGCAAGCATATCAAAGGTGAAAACTGCAAAAATTTGGCCAGAAACTGCTTCACCAAATGGATCTGGTGCTGATGAAACAAAGAAGACAAACACTGTGATCTAGTTGAAGAGAAAAATAGAGTGTTGGTGTTTTTGTATGCTTTGAATATGAGTTAGGTAGTAATTTAATTGATGTAAATGCGAATGGGAGTTAGTTTAATCGAGCTAGCTCGTGTAATAATATACTACAATATAACACGAGTGAATGTTTGAATGATGATATGTTTAAAGACAAAGACGAGTTTGGGGCAAGCTAGTCGTGGCACTTGACAAAGTAACTCATTGCGCATGGGATAAAACAAATGGGGAATGAGTAATTTGGTAATTGTTAAATATTAGTAACAATATTGCACATCAACAAAGTAGTGAAGCAATCAATTACTAAACTAGTTTAAACAATACTTCGGATAGAACAACTCTTGTATCACAATTTTTACAATTCAGCCACGTAAGAAGTTCAGTTCTATATCGTACTATTATTATTTATATGATATATAATCGGTTTAGAATTATATCTTCTAATAATATTAAGATCATTCGAATATGATATAATATCATCGTAGTATCAGGTATAACCATCGGTCAAAATAATTTCTCAAATCAAGAGAAATTTCAATAATTCTGTAAAGAGAATTTAATAATTGTAATTTGACCACTCAAAAGAATTTCTCAAACAAAGAGAAATTCGAAGGGAGAAGTTGGCGTTTCGACAATTTGAAAGACGCAGAGTTATGAGAGTGAGGAAAGAAAACTAATAAATAGTTTTTTGTGTAATTTGGAATGAAACATTTGCACTTCTTATATAGTGAAGTAAATTAGCCAAGAAATATATTATAAGCAATGTGAAACTTAGAGTTTTGTTTCAAATAACATAAAACCACAAAAATTCTAACAATATGGGACTTAAGTTTTTTTTTTTTAAGTTCATCGTATTGAAACATGGACATGTTCCAACAATCCCTCACTTGAATTTAAAAAGATGATTTTAGAAGTAACGCCAACGTTTCTAAGATTGTACATAAATAAATGTGTATACGACTTGAACCTTTGTGTAGCAAGTAGGATTATGATTCAACAAGAGTGACACAAATATCTTGAACTTTATCTCGGACATTAAACCTACACACACCCTTTTCTTGAGGTGTATTCTAATTGTTCGTGTTTTAATGGCACTGCACGTGTATCCCGATTTAGTGGAGGCTCTAGGAATTCTGCCTCAAAATTCTATAAGAACCGGTCTAAGTTCCAGAATCACATAGGTGAGTCTATCAAGAGTACTCTTGTAGCTTAGGTACTCCCTCATACAGAGTATAAATCTCATTAAGAGCTTTTATCATCTCATCCTCTTATTACTTCAGGATTCATGCTTCAATTGCATGATCATCTCATATTACTCACAACTTGTTATTACCCATTGAACATATTTCTTGGGTTCTCCAATCATTTAGGTCGGGTTACCATCATGAGAAACTCATATTTCTATATGTATTAGTCCCATCTTATATGATGTATTATAGACTTTCTCTCTAGCTAATCTATTCGTCAAAGGATCTGCTAAAGTTTCACCAATACATACATGAGATACTCTTACAGCTCCTTTAGAGATACAGTCTTTGACGGTGCTGTGTTTTCAACTTATTTGACGTCTTTTACCATTATAATAATGGTTCTCAATTTTTGCAATAGTTGTGGTACTATCGCAGTGGATCAACACAACTGGCATAGCTTTTTCCCATAAGGGAATCTCAGTTAACAAGCATCTTAACCAACTTCCTTCTTCACTAGCAGTCGCTAATGCTATCGTCTCAGACTCCATCGTGAACTGAGCCAGGATAGTCAATGTCTTTTATTTCTAAGATACAACTCCTCTAGTTATGTTAAATACACATTCACTAGTTGCTTTAGAATAATCTGATAAGGTATTCAAATTTGCATCACTATATCCTTCAAGCATGCCAAGAAATATCTGATAATGCAAACTGAGATTCACGATCTTTTTAAGGTACCACATAACTCACTCAATAGCTTGCTAATGCTCAGTACTCGGTCTACTAGTAAACCTGTACAACAATCATATGACATATGCAATGTCAGGTCAAGTACAATTAGTGGAATACCTAAGACTGCCAATGATGCTCGCATATTCTGTTTGTATAAGACTTTCACCAGTGTTCTTAAATGGTTTCATGCTTAGATCGTATGATTGCTCGCAGGTTTATAGTCAAAGTAATTATATTTCTTTAAGAACTTTTCCATATAGTGTGATTGATCCAAAGAAATTTCTTGCTCAGGTCTCGTGATCTTGATACCAAAAATCACGTTCGCTTCTCCAAAGTCTTTCATACCAAAGTTGTTGCGCAATAGTGATTTCATATCATTAAAGACATGAATGTTTGATCCAAATATGAGTATATTGTTTATAAATAGGCATATGATAGTGCAAATGTGATTATCAGATTTGTAATAAACGCATTTGTCACTTTCATTCACTTTGTATCCATTTGATATCATTAAGTTTTCAAACTTTTCGTGCCATTTCTTTGGAGCTTGTTTTAGCCCATCCAAAAACTTATCTAACTTACATACCTTATTTTCTTGTCCATGAATCACAAACTCTTCCGGTTGGTCCATATAGATTTCTTCTTCTATGTCATTGTTTAAAAAAGTTGTTTTTACATACATTTAGTGTACTATTAATTTATAAATAGAGGCTATTGAAATCAGTACCCTAATAGATGTAATTCGAGTGACTAGATAAAAAGTATCAAATAAATCTATATTATCTTTTTGCCTAAAACCTTTGACGACAAGGCGAGCCTTGAACTTATCAATAGTTCCATCAGGTTTTATTTTATTTTTTAAAATCCATTTACAAACTATTGATTTTCAACCCGAAGGTAAGTCTACTAATTTCCATGTCTTGTTAGATTTTAAAGAATCTATCTCATCGTTAATAGCTTCTTGCCATAGATATGCATCCATAGATAACAAGGCTTCTTGAAGATTACTGGACTTTCCTCTATATTATAAGCCATATAACTGGACTCATAGTCTTTTAGTAACTCTTACTCTCTTACTTCGTCGAAGTTATGTTTCTACTTCGTTGTTTCTTTAAGTGCTTCTTATCACAAGAGTGTGACTTAATTCAGTGCCCCCACTATTTTTCAATCTGAAAGGAAATTTGTCTTCATAGAATTAAATATCATTTGATTCTATAACCACTTTAGTATTCATGTCATAACACCTATATGCCTTATTGTTTACTGCATACCCAATGAATACACATTCATAGGATCTACTAGCGAGTTTAACTCATTTCAAATCCAGAATTCTGACATAAGCCAGACATCTCCAAGTTCTCAAATAAGACAAGTTTGGTTGTTTTTTCTTTAATATCTCATAAGGAGAGATATTACTTTTTGAGTTGGGAACTATATTTAGGAAATAGCCAACAATCAATAAAATTTCTCCCACTAGTGAGGAGCAACACCAGAACTTAACATAATTGCAACAACAAGTTCAATAAGAGTTTTATTCTTTCTTTCTGCTTTACCATTCATTTTAGGAGAATATGGTGTAGTCGTTTCATGTATAATTCCATGTTGTTTATAAAATTCATTTAATAAAATAGAATCATACAATTTCCCTATCACTACACATTCTTAATAAATCATTTTCAAATTCTTTACAAAGTTTTTAAACATATAAATTTCATTCACAAAAATATCATTATATGTGATGGTGTACAAATCTACCCCAATAGACTGACTAAACTCTGCCTTATTTAAAAGAAAACCAGAAACAAGATTGTTCCTAATCTTAGGAACATGGATGATGTCTTTCAAGATTAAAGTCTTTTTGGAGGTGAAATTCAGCTCCATATCTCCAATTCCATCAACATTAGAGTTATGAGCATCTCCCAATAACACTTTCTTATCTTTAGTATTCATGTATGTTTTAAACATAACACGATCATAACAGACACGAGGAGAGATGCCAGTGTCTGTCCACCAACCATTATATCCATCAACCATGTTGATTTCAATTATCATAGCAATAAATTTCTTATTAATCCGGTTAACCTGTGCACTAGAGGCAACATTAGGTTCAAGCCTGCTTCTACATTCCTTAGCCATATGACTTGATTTTCTATAGTTAAAACAAATGGAAATCAACGTCATTTCTTTGAGGTAGTGTGTTGTACCCCAAAATTTGCCCTCGCATTTTTCCCAAGAATCTCAGCTTCAAGACTTTCCTGACTTTTCAAACTGACTCAAGAATCGGACAAACGGACTTTTCGTGTCAGTCAAGCGAAATTAGGGTTTTTACTGATTTTCAGAACTCTGGATTGTTTCATACAGTTGGCTTAGGGTTTTGGTTGATTTTGGCTCAGTTTTGATCAGGCGAGCGTTATTTGGCATTTAATCAAGAGTTAGGGTTTTACGGGCATATTCTCAGAAAGGTTGAAATTCCACAGTACTTTGCGGTTTATTCCGAGATTCGGGTTGAATTTGCATTGTTCATAATTTAATCAGTAAAAGGAGGCAATTGGTTTGAATTCACCAGTCAAAAGATATGTGCAGTATTGGATTCACAGTGTTTATGGCAAATCAGTGAAGAAGGAATGCGTTTGATCAGTCTATTTGGGTTAACTACTGTTTTATTTTGGATATTGGAAGAGACAGGTTTAATTGATCAATATTGATTTTATTTAAGTTATTTATTATTCTAAAATTGAATGATTGAAATTTATTTTTCAATTGTTTTAATTCAAAGAATTTTAAATAAATAAATAAACAATAAAGAAAATTAGAACTAATTGGATAATTTAGATTTTATTGATATTTGAATTATTTGTACAAATTGTTGTTTATAATTTAAATTACAAACAATAATATACATTAATTTAAATATTAAATAAAATAAAATTCTATCCTATTTCTAATATTCTTCACTCTTCACTCCGCTCCGGTGCTCCATTTTTTATCTGCAAAAAGAAAAGAGAAAGTCAGAAAGCAGTTGAAATAAAAAGGACAGTTAAAATTTGCTCATCATTAGGGGCCA